CCCTCCGGGAGGCCGGCCTGGCGCACCGGCCGCACGCCGCTCCCGAGGCCTCCCCTGCGCTCAGCTGCGCGGCGGCCTGAGCAGGGCGGGCCGCGCCACTGAGAGGTCCTCACCAGCCCCAGCTGGAACGGTTGCCGCCCCGGCCCCCGGAGCCTCCACAGCACGGCCGGGTTCAATCGGGATGGGGACGTTGAGGTTCACTTACTCCTGTGGCCTTTTGAGATCCGTGGACGCTTCAGCCAGAGACTGCCCGTTCCGACATAACCACAGTTTTACAGAAGGGGGTCTGTGCTCTCTAGGATTAGAAACCCTGATCGAGTGTGACCCCAGGAAGCAGGGCTGGGTGGGTTGACAGGTCGTGTGGCTGGTGACCTGGCCAGCTGCGGGTGGAGGCTGCCTGCAGACTCCAGTAGGCTGTGCGCCACGTCCCGGGTCTTCCTCGATTTATTCTTGGTTTTATTCCACCCCCTAAAGTGGGCTGGGGGTGGGGACGCTTTCTTTTCAACGTTGGTGGGCAGGGGCGGGTGGGGCGCAAGTGTTTGAGGTGGAGAGGTCAAGTGCAGTTACCTACAGAACAGGTGTCCGTCCTCAGTCAAGGCCGGCGACCAGGGGGAGCGGTACCCCTGGCTATAGAACATCCTCGCAGAAAGTGAAAACGACCCGGGGTAATAAGGAGAGCTCCCTTATTATCTGTCAGTGTTTATGGGCTGTACTGTCCATAGGCTTATGGAAAACTGTCGGACTTCACGTGTAAGTTGAAAGCTGCTCTGGGCACGGATTTTGACAGATGGGCCCCTTTTTCACCTGGGTTTCAGACCAAGAGCTTTATGTTCTCGTAGGTCTACCTGTACCCTTTCCCATGATATCCACACACCTGTCAACATCCAAGTCCTGAAAAACCATGGACTTTTTGGCCTCAATGAAGCCCAGCTTCGGATCCTGCTTTTGCAGAATGACCCCTGCCTTTTGCCAGAGGTGAGTCACCAAGGAGTCACCCTCATAGGGTCACGTTTGTTACAAATGTTTTTCTCCCTTTACTTTTGGGGGGGGGGGCTTAGATATTAATTTTAATTGCTTTGAAGCAACATGATTTAGCTTCAAATGCTTAAAAATTATCTATTATAATTGCTATAATGGCAAGATTAGCATGTTTGTTTCTGTTTAGCCATACACAAAATTTTTTTTAAACAAAATAGGAATCCCAAAAGAAGATGAGACCATCAATTAAAAGCAGAATTTTCTAATCTGGCATAATGATTTTATCATAGACACTCCCACTGTGCCAGGAGAGGGGTGGGAAGAAGGGAGGATTCTGGGAGAACAGAGCGTGGTTCATGACAGTGGCCCTATTTTAACTCTAAGATATTTCAGCGTCTAGAAGGAAAGAAAGTCAGAAGCTGGAGGTTTGAGCTGGAGCCTTTGGTGCAGATGGCAGAGGCTGCCCTCGAGGCAGCAGTCCTGGAGTCGATCTTAGGAGCCAAGAGCTTTCTTCTTCACATCCATTTCCTTCTTTATTTCCTCAAGCATTGAAGCCAGGTTTGATATGTCATGGTTGTGAGCCAGATGCATTCCAGGTGTGGCGGAAAGCACAACCGAGCAGCAGCTGGCGCAGGGTATTGGCAGGAAGGCTGAGGAGGGCGGTGGCAGCCAGGAGACTGGGCCCAGCCCTTCTCTCACAGAGAAGGGCCAGTGCAACTGCTATGTGCCTTTTAATTTTATGGTATTTGTTGATTTATAGAAGTTTAACCTTTTTATGTGGTCAAGCCTATTGAATCTTCTTTTTTGTGGTTTCCACCTGGGTATCTTGAGCCCGGGCTCACCTCATATTAGACTGCTTCAGTATTCTGGGAGCAGCCAGTGGGTCGGTTGCATTTCCAATGGGAGCCCACCCTTGACCCCACAGCCGGGACTGGAGGTGTGTGTGTGTGTGGCACAAAACAAGGCCACGTAGACAACAGGGACCAGGGACAGCACAGTGGATGGAGCAAGAATGGAACCTCATGGCTCTTGTATGAAAACGCCTGATGACTGCTTTCACTGCTCTCCTAAAGATACAGCACATGGTACAGACCAGCACGCGATAAAGAGACAACAGGGGACACCTACGTACAATTTTATGCTGGCACATCTGAAAACTTTGATGAAATGGACAAATTTCTATAAAAATATAGCTTGTCAAAATTAATTCAAGAAAAAATAAAAAGCCAGTATAGTCTTAAATATTTTTTTACAAATAAAAGCATTAAAGAAACCCTAAAGCATTAGTTAAAAGTATTCTACAAGAAGACATCAGGCTTATATAGTTTTCTCATTGAGTTTCTATCAAATCTCTTTTTGCTTTATTGAATTATAATTGACAAATAAAAATTGTATATTTATGTACAACATGATGTTTTCA